GGGAGAGGGAGGGAGGGAGGGAGGGAGAGAGAGATCAAAACAGTAATGGTTACTGATTTTTTTTACAAGATTTATATACAATATACTGGACCAGTAGAATCACACTACTGGAATAATATAAAAAATAGTCTCTTTGAAACATCTGACTTAAACGGGTAAAAACTGTATCTTCGTCTTAACACATTTTTCACATCTGTGAATTTTAAACATTCTTCTACACTGCTTAGCTGAGAACCACATTAAAATTTCCTTCTTGGTAGTATAGCTACAGCTGAAATCTGCAATCATGTCACAGTATCTTCAATTTAATCCATACCTCAAAATATGCAGTGTTTTCTCTTAAGTGCTGTTCAACACATTGGCAGAGCTGTAAAATCCAGCTCCACTGGGTTTGCATTGCAGCTCGGTAGGCCTGAAGGATACAGAGAGAGATAAAGAACCACGTGTGTCTATGCAATCTCAGCCCCAGTTCTCTCTAACGAGAGAAAGAATATGAATAGATTTTCCCTCCCCCATTCCTAATGCCTTTGTCTCAACTGTATGCAGTAGAACAAAAGCACTCTCTAAAATATAAATTGCTCTACAAAAATAGTAAAAATTTTCTGAAAAGTCAGGTTGACTGCAATTTAGAATCTAAACACCTTGACTCCAGCTTATATTATTGGATAGTGGCTGCCTGTCAAGTTGGCTAAAACTAGTGACACTCGCTACAGAATCCGGTAGAGCGTATTGTTTAATAACAAGGACAGATCACAAAGATCATCGGCTTCTAGTTTTTAAGTATTGTTGTAGAATATCCATACTGACAGAGATACAGAATCAACTAACTTGTGGTCAGTATTGAAACTCGGAGGTGCCCATATGTGCTAGCTACAGTCTTTGGTTGCAAGAGATTATTCTACAACAGTGTTTCTCAACCTCAGCAAGTTTAAGTTGAGTGGATTTCAGCTTCTGGGAGCTGAAATCCACTCTTCTTAAAGTTGCTACGGTTGAAAGTACTTATTATATTTCTTAATTCCAATCCAAAATAAATATAATGTCCATGTAAGATCTGTAATAATATATAATTGTGATGCATAACAGCAATGAAACATTTATAGGGAGAGGCTCCTTATTACAAATGAGCAAGAAAAATGCTGCCCCCCCGCTCTAGGGGTACTAGATTCACTCTTATTCAAACGTTAGATGGTGCTATGGTACTGGAGTTCTCCATGGGGAAAAAGAGCACTCTGCATTCCTTTTTAAGTAACTCAAAACAATCAGCAGTGAAACACAGCCAGTGAGGACAAGAAATAGAACAGAATACAATAGAAGAAACCAGGAAGAATTCAGGAAGAAACCACAATGGGCTAGTTGGAACCCTAAACAGGAGGGCCAAGTTTTGCAATCTTGTTTCATTCATTTTAGGACCCTAGCAAGGTGTCATGCTGAATTTTAAAGACTAACAAATGCACTGAGTCATAACCTTTCATGCTCAACTAAACGTATATTGCAAGAAAATTTTATGTGCAGCAATGCAGCAATAACACAAAATGGAAATAGTTATCTGGAGCTCTAATGTGTACAAGATGAAATCCGTGATGCCCGTTATTGACTACCATTGGAAACAGAAATACAGCAGAGGACTAAACAGGAAATAATTTCACAAGATTGTATATGAGTTTTCTCCACGGTTTTCAACAAAAGCTGGGGGGGGGAAGGGCTGGTGTTAGAATAAACACAACAAACATACAACCAACTGAGGAAGGCTGTAATTCTGCAGAAAGTTATTTAAAAGTGTTGCTCTAAATTTGGAATCCTACAAAAAGTGCTTCTAAAGCCAGATTTAATAACCTACCTCAATAGTTAATCTCGCAGGGTGGTTTTCAAAGAGCAATTGTTCTGCTATTTCCTGAACTGATTTAATAACTTCTTCTTTCTGGTCAAGTTCTCTCATCAGATCCTTTCAAATTAAAAAAAAAAAAAGCTTTTGAAACCTGCAGCAAGTAGGAAAGAATACGTTCAGCTTTATTTTTAACACATTACTAAATCTTACGGCATGATATTCCTTTTTCCTTGCTATATTTGTGTTCCTTTCACTCCAGTCGTGTGCAACTTCCTCCTCTTCCTTTTCATTCAACCATATAAGTTCCCGAGTGGCACGTGACACAAAATTGTGAAGGGTGTCAAGGTGTCTTTCCTGATTTCTAGAGGCATTCTTGAAAAGACAAAAAAACAAAGTTTGATTTTGCTTACATTGCCAAGGAACATCCCACTGAGACCTGGACTTCTTGACAATGATCTTACCAAGAGTTTTGCATATTGACTCTCCAGTTTGTGCAATTTTTCTGTATAGCTGAGTTTGAGGGGAGCAGTCATTTGGATCTGGGTAGAACAAACTGGATTAGAGATTTTTTTTAAAGAAAGAAAAGAAAAGCCACCAGACACACAACAGTTAACAGGAGGATTGTGCATTTCTTATTATTCATTTAATTAATATAACAAAGTGATTCTTCTTTAAGCCAAGTGCAGTTATACAACAAGTTAAAACCTATGCATGTTTTTAAAATATGTACAGTCACCAGGTGTTTTTATGCTGTACCTCACTGATTTTTGCTTCTTTAAGACTTGATTCAAATTCTTCAATAGCTTTGTGAACATTCTTGTGATTTTCAACATGGCTTTCAACACCTGGCAAATCTGAACCCCATTCAGCTCGGTCAAGCTGTACCTGTTAAAGGAATGGTTTAAAAAATTAAACTTGATCCATTGAATAAATAAGAAAAAATGATCAAGTGCAGATGAAGACCATACACGACGTCAAGATGTTACCTGCATTTCATCCACCCATCTTAAGAGGTCCTGGACAAATTTCATATTGACTTCTTCTTCTGTTAAATTCTGATCAATGAAAGCCGATTTCATCAGAGGCTTCCGAATCTGTGTCAATTTGAGTGTTTGAAGTGCACCTGTGTCAACTCCAGTTATGTAGCTTTGAATTAACCGTGGTGGGAAG